TAGGAAAGCAGAGGGACCAGCAGGGACACAAGAGATTTCACACAAAGGAAGCAATACAAAGAGAACAGAATACTTTTTAACACAAGTGTACATGGTACAACTGGCACATATCAGGAATATGAAATGTTGGGGTAACATATTCTTTAAGACACTATGAGATAATAGTAGCTTGCAAATATACAAGATACTATGCAGTGGCATGTTTTGGTACTCTGGTAATGTTCCGGATACTACTAGTGTACAGGCAATAAAGGTAAATAAAACAATGGTAACAAATTACCTTTATTGTGAAAAATAAATAAATAAAACATTATCTCAATTTTTATATTTTTTATAACTGAACTGATCCAAGATACTAAGAATGCTAGTGCTGTTAGTTTAAAAAAATACATTGCAATGTATTCCAATTTTCCTTTATAATGTTTTTTTCTGGATATATTAAAAGTTATATTTTAAGGTCAGACAGGGTTGAAATATGTGTGGGAACTCAAATGGGGCATTTTTTTCTGCTTTTCAAAGAATAGATATAAGCCTGTTTATGAAATAGGTCAGATTTGAATATATGAACCTGATCACTTTGAGATGTACCACAGCTTTGAAGTTGGCTATTTTATGTGTTTATTATTTTGGAAAGCCCATTGATGTTTGCGGCACAATGGCATTCTCTATTCTGTGGTACATGCTGGGTGATGATTGTGAGTGAAAGCATGAAAACTAAATTACAGCTGTGCTATGTCAGTATGAATAATGTCTGTTGGCTTAGACAGTGAGTCAAAGGTTTCAAGAAGGAGGAAAATATCTGAATGACTAACTGGAAAAGCTGATAAGTTTACATATGGGATTCTCCTTTTAAGTAGCCAGATGACAAAGCAGTAACTTACCAGAAAAGCAAAATATGTGTATTTAATTTCATCATGGGTACCATATGTTATGTATATGTTCTATTGAAGCTGGCTTTAGCTATTTCATGACCAGAGGTCATCGATACTTAGATGCTCAGGTCAAATTCAGCAGGATCATCCTGTATCAGTTAACCTGACAATAACTCCATACCTAACTTGCATACTTAAATCATTTTTAGATATTAGAGAAATGTTATTTAGTACACTTTTTTAATAAAAAAAAACCTTCTATTTTTTTATTATAGCTGAGAAATATGATTTTTTTTTTGGTCAATAACAGCATTAAACAAGCCTGAAAGTGTTCATATGCCAGATGAAAGCTTTTATTTTTTTTAAATGATCACACTAATTGGTTCCTGATTGTTAGTGGAGACCTGAGCTGTTAATGCCAAAAAACAAAACAAATTAAAGCCACCAGCTGCACCAAATGAGGAATATTTACAACCTTATCATCCTCAGCATGGGCATCATGCTGGGGAATGTTTATATAGAGATTGTGAGGTTTTATCACCGTCTGCAGTCCATCCTTTAACCAAATATATTAGCAAGATCTTTGTAATACTCAACAGGAAACATTTGGCTGTTCTGGAAGAAACAGTGGCATTGGGGGTAACATCTATTCTGTCATTATTAGTTGTTCTGGAACCTCTTTCCTCATACAGTTCCTACTATGTGACAGAGCCCCAATGTCTTTAGTTGGAAGAATACTGGTGCCAGAGTTAGGAATGTATTTCAGAGCCCCTGTTTGCAGAATAGGTTATAGGAAAACAGGGTATGGGAAAAAGACTAAGGTTAATATAGACTTTAGATTGTCTTTAGTGTTGAATTTAAAGTTTTATATCAAACATTGAGCTGACTTTGTAGAGTGACATGACAGATGGTTTCTGTATAAATCCTTAATCTTAATATCTTTATTAATATTAATAATCATTATTTCAAAAGAATAATGTGCTGGTTATATTTTTAGGTGGGTGGTATCAGATAACTCTGTATATGTATTCTTTACAATCATCCAGTGCTGATTGTGATTTTATAATCTCTGTAAACACTTATGCTTTGCTTAGAAAATCAATGATTCATGTATTGTTTTGTTATACAAATTACATTTAGTCCCCTTCTGTTTGGTATCTTTTATATTTTTAAATTACATTCAGCTTTTGAATAAAGCATCTTTTAACCACAACCTAATGACACTCCTTGTGAAATGAATTGCTATTTAAGTGGTCCTACAAGTTTGAAGTAGATATTTTGATTTAAAGTAGAATGGCTGATATGGGTCTGAAACATGAAGGAATAGTGCAACCTCTATGCTATATGTTCCCTGAAACATTGTAAATAAAGCTGTACCCCTTTGTTTTTCATGATACGTATCATATGTGCTAAGAAAATAGGACTTCTGAGCGTTAAATGCTATAAATAGTGGTTTTATGAGGAGTTGGTGGTGGTGTGAATGAGAAGGGCAACTGAGAAAACTGGAGAACTGGAGGCATAACATGCCAAAACATGTGTTTCATGCAGTAGACTTAAAATTAGTTCTTGAAAACACAATTAAACCCAATTAAACAAAGAAGTTAAAAATATTATACTTTTTCAATTACTTATTAACCTCCCTAGCGGTGTATGATTATGTTAGTATTTCTGTGCTCAAAGCGGTAAATTTTTTCAATGGAAATATGTTGTTTTTCTATTGTAGGCCTGTAATTCTTAGGAATAACTCACTGAAATATGTCCGAACAAGTCTAGTAAACATCCCGGGTATGATAAAATTTGCATTATTATTATTTTTTATGATTATTTATTATATAAATAAATAATCGTAAAAAATAATATTAATACATTTATTTCAATAATGTAATCAAACCAAAAACACTGAAATTTGAAATAGAGCGCCAAGTTCGCACATCACTGAGCTCAGTTGCAGAATAGTTTTCAATGTCTGATGACGAATTTCCCCACGAATCATTATCACTCAATTCTGCAAGTGGTTCTAATTTACTATCGCTGTTCTCTAGCTGGTCTAAAACCGCTTTTGACCTAAAGGGACGCTTTTTGGATGCCAGTCAGTTTTCCAGACAGAAAGAACAGTAAAAATGCAGGCAGGGCACTAGACAAAGCACTAGGGACAAAATGTATGTGAAATGGTTTGATACAGTAATGTAATACTATCAGATTTTAGTGTATTATGTGCATGTAAACTTTAGAAATTTGTTATTCTCCCACTGGTTCCGTCCCCCGTACGTCCAGACGCTCGCAGGGAACGGAACCCGGAAGACGGATGCCGGCATTGGCCGGAGGACATGGCTGGGTACGCAGCTGGAGGACAGCGCGGGACACCAGGACAAGGTAAGTGATCCAGGGATCCCAGAGCGACGCTGCAGTGTATTTCCAAGTGTAGCTCGGGGTTACCACTTCTGGTACTGAAAAAACTTAACCCCGAGCTACACTTGGCAATACCTCTAGGGGGGTTAATCGTAACAATACAGATCTGTAAAGTATGCTAGAGCTCAAACAATGGAGATTACTGAGAGCCTGCAAAAAACAGTAATTGTTACTCGCCAGGCTGGAAATGTTACATGACTGTGGGGTTGATTTACTAAAGGCAAATAGTCTATGTACTGCAAATGCACTCCAAGTGCACTTGGAAGTGCACTGCAGTTGTTCTAGATCTGAGGGGAACATGCAAGAAAAATAGAAAAAACAGCATTTTTGCTTGCACATGATTGGTTGAAAGAAATCATCAGAGCTTCACCTTGTTTCAGAGCTTCCCCCTGGGATCAAAAGCAACTGCACTTGCAGTGCTCAGCCTATTTGCCTTTAGTAAATTAACCCTTATGTCTAAAGATTTTAGACTCCAGTCAAATGGAGACATTCAAACTCCACTGTTACTTTCTCCAGAAGTGGTCAAACAACATAGATCAACAACAAGGGTTGAAATATCTTAAATAACCAAGGACTGATTTTTTTTAAATTTAGTTTTAAATGTTACAAATTCTAAGGAACCAAAGGTATTTTTCTATCAGATCATGAGTTCACCATCAGGAGAACACTGGAAAACAATAGTGTACTTGGTAGTGTTGAAAGGAGATAGCCATACAAAATAAAAATATTGCTGCCTAACTATAGTTTGCAAAAAACCATTTGGATAAGTCAGAAGGCTACTGGAAAAAATGTTCTGTGGATGGGTGAGACCAAAACAGAACTTTTTGACTTAAATTAAATTGTTAGATCTTAACTGTACAGTACAGGATACTCAATTTATATTTCTTAGATCATGGGTAATATGCAGGTTACTGAATGACAGGAAGCATCAATGAACTACCTAGAGTGCACTACAGTGCTCTGATTCATTGAGAACTACAAGCCATCAGCTGCAAATAAAAGAAGAAAATAATGTTTGCGCTAACAAGGAAGATAATAATATTAATAATACGTATAAAGTGTAAGAAATAAATAATGTCCACAAAAAACAAAAATAAAGCCTTGGGACCTCAGTGTAATGGCGATGGTCCAGGCTTCAACAAAATGACGAAGGTCCGGAACTAGCGGTCACCTTGTTTACCAGGTCAAAATAAATAGATGTAATACTCAACTGCTTCCTATCCCTGATGAACTCACGTGATGCGTGACGCAAAGCATTGGACAGAAGCGTGGTGATGTCATTTCCCGTTACGGCTACGATCACCACCATCTTTGTTTACAAAAATACCATGCTGTTTGAGGGTGTTTGTAGCCCTTTTCCCTTGTGAGGGCATTTCTTCTGCTTTCTATGTTTTTTAATAAAAATAACTTTACTGTGCTATGAGGAGCCCCTCTCTCCTGTTTACTTATATGTGATACCTGCAGTACTGATTTAGGTGATGTGGAGCTCCCCAGTGACCAGGACACATCGAGAATATTGCTGTTTTGACCTGTGTGATGTGGGTCAACTGGTGAGGTGAGCGTGCATGCCTGGTGATGGTGGCTATTAGAGATGAGCGAAGTATTCAAAAATTCGATTCGGCTGATTCGGCGAATTCGTGGAATAAATTCGATTCGAGTCGAATATATTCGTTGCAAATTTAACTTATAAAAAGGGTGTTTCTAGGCTTCAGAGAGCCTTTATATTAGTGCAGAACACTGTACCTTTAATTTAAATGCCCTTGGAGTCTGCTGGGGATGAGAAATAATACTGTCAGTCAGTATGACATGCAGATGAGTGCCGTCGATCTTAGAATCACCGCACACGTCACTCATTTGGGCAGTCACGGGGCGAAAACCAGAGTGTGGAGCCACAGTGTGGCGGTGGAGGCAGCAGCAATGGGAGGCCATACAGCACCCTATGAAAAAAATGGAACCCACCAGCAGTGTGAGGAGACCTGAAAGTGGCACATGGCAGAGTGTGGCGATGGAGACAGCAGCAATGGGAGGCCGTACAGGGACCCATGACACACTCTGAACCTGGCAGCAGCATGAGGAGGCGGTACAGGGGCCCATGACAGATTACGGGCCTGGCAGCAGCATGAGGAGTCGGTACGGGGGCCCATGGCAGATTACGGGCCTGGCAGCAGCAATGGGAGGCCGTACAGGGACCCATGACACACTCTGGACCTGGCAGCAGCATGAGGAGGCGGTACAGGGGCCCATGACAGATTACGGGCCTGGCAGCAGCATGAGGAGTCGGTACGGGGGCCCATGGCAGATTACGGGCCTGGCAGCAGCAATGGGAGGAGGCCGTACAGGGACCCATGACACACACTGGACCTGGCAGCAGCATGAGGAGGAGGCGGTACAGGGGCCCATGACAGATTACGGGCCTGGCAGCAGCATGAGGAGTCGGTACGGGGACCCATGGCAGATTACGGGCCTGGCAGCAGCAATGGGAGGCCCTTAATCTGCCAGCACCCTATGACAAAATGGAACCCACCAGCAGTGTGAGGAGACCTGAAAGTGGCACATGGCAGAGTGTGGCAATGGAGACAGCAGCAATGGGAGGCCGTACAGGGACCCATGACAGATTACTCTGGGCCTGGCAGCAGCATGAGGAGGCGGTACACGGGGGCCCATGGCAGATTACGGGCCTGGCAGCAGCAATGGGAGGCCCGTAATCTGCCAGCACCCTATGACAAAATGGAACCCACCAGCAGTGTGAGGAGACCTGAAAGTGGCACATGGCAGAGTGTGGCGATGGAGACAGCAGCAATGGGAGGCCGTACAGGGACCCATGACAGATTACGGGCCTGGCAGCAGCATGAGGAGGCGGTACAGGGGGCCCATGACAGATTACGGGCCTGGCAGCAGCAATGGGAGGCCCGTAATCTGCCAGCACCCTATGACAAAATGGAACCCACCAGCAGTGTGTGAGGAGACCTGAAAGTGGCACATGGCAGAGTGTGGCGATGGAGACAGCAGCAATGGGAGGCCGTACAGGGACCCATGACACACTCTGGACCTGGCAGCAGCATGAGGAGGCGGTACAGGGGCCCATGGCAGATTACGGGCCTGGCAGCAGCAATGGGAGGCCCGTAATCTGCCAGCACCCTATGACAAAATGGAACCCACCAGCAGTGTGAGGAGACCTGAAAGTGGCACATGGCAGAGTGTGGCGATGGAGACAGCAGCAATGGGAGGCCGTACAGGGACCCATGAGACACTCTGGACCTGGCAGCAGCATGAGGAGGCGGTACAGGGGCCCATGGCAGATTACGGGCCTGGCAGCAGCAATGGGAGGCCCGTAATCTGCCAGCACCCTATGACAAAATGGAAACCCACCAGCAGTGTGAGGAGACCTGAAAGTGGCACATGGCAGAGTGTGGCGATGGAGACAGCAGCAATGGGAGGCCGTACAGGGACCCATGACAGACTACGGACCTGGCAGCAGCATGAGGAGGCGGTACAGGGGCCCATGGCAGATTACGGGCCTGGCAGCAGCAATGGGAGGCCCGTAATCTGCCAGCACCTATGACAAAAATGGAACCCACCAGCAGTGTGAGGAGACCTGAAAGTGGCACATGGCAGAGAGTGTGGCGATGGAGACAGCAGCAATGGGAGGCCCCCTGGCCCATGACACTTTCCTGCCACATAGTCGACATACGGCTACGTTTACTTCCTCGGGCGGCTTAACGAAAAATTGCCACACCGCCGAGTAGGAAACTTTGCCCCCGCTAATACTCCTCAGGCTGACTGCTACTGACCTCCGTGCACACCCACCACTACTGGCCTTGGTGGTAGGCTGCAGTGGAGCTGGTTGCAGCTACTCCGTGGCCGTTTGCCTCCACTGACACTGCTGCGACCCTGCTGCCTCCTGGGCAACCCACCGACTGTTTTGCTCGCTGCCAAGCTGGCACCCTCTTCTCTCTCCTGATGATGCGGAAGCAATAGCCTGATGACGACGAGGCTGCCAAGTGCGATCAGCCTCATCATCATCAATTAGGGTCTCCGCCTCACTACTAGCCCCCCCCTCGGCTGCGTGTGGGTCAGGAGACAGACCTGTCTCTAGACCGGCTACTGAGCCCACTCTCCTCGCCAGTACTTCTTCTTCCGCCTGGCTGCTGAAGAGGCGATGCTGTCTCCCCCCGTTCCTGACCGCCCTCTGTTAGCTCTTCCTCACTGTACAGTGGGGCTGAGCCCACAGCATGCGATACTTCGCTTGGTGAGGGAACACCAAAGGACAGGGGCAGGTAGAGGACACGTGATTTCAGTGGGCTTGCTCCCGGGCCATGCCAACTAACGGTTGTGTCTGACGTACCCACCGACCGTTGGCTGTAGGTGTCAGAGGTGACCTGGGAAGAGGAAGACGACCGAGCCAACCAATCGATGACGGCAGGGTTGTCGGTGGAGACACGACCGCTGGATGGATGACACCGGGAGCACTGGCCTCTGGCTGCGACTAGTGCTGCCTGGCCCCTCGACCCCTTCCTCTGCTGCCACGTCTGCTCCTCCTGAAACATTGCCTCCTCTGCCACTCCTCTGCGTGTTGTCTGACATACTCTTTAATTCAACGATTCTGTGTCCCTGAGTAACAATGTCTGTGTCCCTGAGTAACAATTCTGTGTCCCTCAGTAACGATTCTGTGTCCCTCAGAGTAACAATTCTGTGTCCCTGAGTAACAATTCTGTGTCCCTGAGTAACAATTCTGTGTCCCTCAGTAACGATTCTGTGTCCCTGAGTAACAATTCTGTGTCCCTGAGTAACAATTCTGTGTCCCTGAGTAACAATTCTGTGTCTGTCCTGTAACAATTCTGTGTCCCTGAGTAACAATTCTGTGTCCCTGAGTAACAATTCTGTGTCCCTGAGTAACAATTCTGTGTCCCTGAGTAACAATTCTGTGTCCCTCAGTAACAATTCTGTGTCCCTCGAGTAACAATTCTGTGTCCCTGAGTAACAATTCTGTGTCCCTCAGTAACAATTCTGTGTCCCTGAGTAACAATTCTGTGTCCCTGAGTAACAATTCTGTGTCCCACTGAGTAACAATTCTGTGTCCCTGAGTAACAATTCTGTGTCCCTGAGTAACAATTCTGTGTCCCTGAGTAACAATTCTGTGTCCCTGAGTAACAATTCTGTGTCCCTCAGTAACAATTCTGTGTCTGTCCCTGAGTAACAATTCTGTGTCCCTGAGTAACAATTCTGTGTCTGTCCCTGAGTAACAATTCTGTGTCCCTGAGTAACAATTCTGTGTCTGTCCCCTGAGTAACAATTCTGTGTCCCTCAGTAACAATTCTGTGTGTCCCTGAGTAACAATTCTGTGTCCCTGAGTAACAATTCTGTGTCCCTGAGTAACAATTCTGTGTCCAATTCTGTGTCCCTAACAATTCTGTGTCCCTGAGTAACAATTCTGTGTCTGTCCCTGAGTAACAATTCTGTGTCCCTGAGTAACAATTCTGTGTGTCCCTGAGTAACAATTCTGTGTCCCTCAGTAACAATTCTGTGTCCCTGAGTAACAATTCTGTGTCCCTGAGTAACAATTCTGTGTCCCCTGAGTAACAATTCTGTGTCCCTGAGTAACAATTCTGTGTCCCTGAGTAACAATTCTGTGTCCCTGAGTAACAATTCTGTGTCCCTGAGTAACAATTCTGTGTCCCTCAGTAACAATTCTGTGTCCCTGAGTAACAATTCTGTGTCCCTGAGTAACAATTCTGTGTCCCTGAGTAACAATTCTGTGTCCCTGAGTAACAATTCTGTGTCCCCTGAAGTAACAATTCTGTGTCCCTCAGTAACAATTCTGTGTCCCTCAGTAACAATTCTGTGTCCCTGAGTAACAATTCTGTGTCCCTGAGTAACAATTCTGTGTCCCTGAGTAACAATTCTGTGTCCCTGAGTAACAATTCTGTGTCCCTGAGTAACAATTCTGTGTCCCTGAGTAACAATTCTGTGTCCCCTGAGTAACAATTCTGTGTCCCTGAGTAACTGAGTAACAATTCTGTGTCCCTGAGTAACAATTCTGTGTCCCTGAGTAACAATTCTGTGTCCCTGAGTAACAATTCTGTGTCCCTGAGTAACAATTCTGTGTCTGTCCCTGAGTAACAATTCTGTGTCCCTCCCTGAGTAACAATTCTGTGTCCCTGAGTAACAATTCTGTGTCCCTGAGTAACAATTCTGTGTCCCTCCCTGAGTAACAATTCTGTGTCCCTGAGTAACAATTCTGTGTCCCTGAGTAACAATTCTGTGTCCCTGAGTAACAATTCTGTGTCCCTGAGTAACAATTCTGTGTCTGTCCCTGAGTAACAATTCTGTGTCCCTCAGTAACAATTCTGTGTCCCTGAGTAACAATTCTGTGTCCCCTGAGTAACAATTCTGTGTCCCCCTGAGTAACAATTCTGTGTCCCCCTGAGTAACAATTCTGTTCTGTGTCCTGAGTAACAATTCTGTGTCCCTGAGTAACAATTCTGTGTCCCTCCCTGAGTAACAATTCTGTGTCCCTGAGTAACAATTCTGTGTCCCTGAGTAACAATTCTGTGTCCCTGAGTAACAATTCTGTGTCCCTCAGTAACAATTCTGTGTCCCTCAGTAACAATTCTGTGTCTGTCCCTGAGTAACAATTCTGTGTCCCTGAGTAACAATTCTGTGTCCCTGAGTAACAATTCTGTGTCCCTGAGTAACAATTCTGTGTCCCTGAGTAACAATTCTGTGTCCCTGAGTAACAATTCTGTGTCCCTGAGTAACAATTCTGTGTCCCTCAGTAACAATTCTGTGTCTGTCCCTGAGTAACAATTCTGTGTCCCTGAGTAACAATTCTGTGTCCCCTGAGTAACAATTCTGTGTCCCTGAGTAACAATTCTGTGTCCCCCTGAGTAACAATTCTGTGTCCCTGAGTAACAATTCTGTGTCCCTCAGTAACAATTCTGTGTCCCTGAGTAACAATTCTGTGTCTGTCCCTGAGTAACAATTCTGTGTCCCTGAGTAACAATTCTGTGTCCCTGAGTAACAATTCTGTGTCTGTCCCTGAGTAACAATTCTGTGTCCCTGAGTAACAATTCTGTGTCCCTCTGTAACAATTCTGTGTCCCTCAGTAACAATTCTGTGTCCCTGAGTAACAATTCTGTGTCCCTCAGTAACAATTCTGTGTCCCTCAGTAACAATTCTGTGTCCCTGAGTAACAATTCTGTGTCCCTGAGTAACAATTCTGTGTCCCCCTGTAACAATTCTGTGTCCCTGAGTAACAATTCTGTGTCCCTGAGTAACAATTCTGTGTCCCTGAGTAACAATTCTGTGTCCCTCAGTAACAATTCTGTGTCCCTCAGTAACAATTCTGTGTCTGTCCCTGAGTAACAATTCTGTGTCTGTCCCTGAGTAACAATTCTGTGTCCCTGAGTAACAATTCTGTGTCTGTCCTGAGTAACAATTCTGTGTCCCTGAGTAACAATTCTGTGTCCCTGAGTAACAATTCTGTGTCCCTGTCCCTGAGTAACAATTCTGTGTCCCTGAGTAACAATTCTGTGTCCCCTGAGTAACAATTCTGTGTCCCTCAGTAACAATTCTGTGTCCCTGAGTAACAATTCTGTGTCCCTGAGTAACAATTCTGTGTCTGTCCCTGAGTAACAATTCTGTGTCCCTGAGTAACAATTCTGTGTCCCTGAGTAACAATTCTGTGTCCCCTGAGTAACAATTCTGTGTCCCTGAGTAACAATTCTGTGTCCCCTGAGTAACAATTCTGTGTCCCTCAGTAACAATTCTGTGTCCCTGAGTAACAATTCTGTGTCTGAGAGTAACAATTCTGTGTCCCTGAGTAACAATTCTGTGTCCCTGAGTAACAATTCTGTGTCCCTGAGTAACAATTCTGTGTCCCCTGAGTAACAATTCTGTGTCCCTGAGTAACAATTCTGTGTCCCTGAGTAACAATTCTGTGTCCCTGAGTAACAATTCTGTGTCCCTGAGTAACAATTCTGTGTCCCTGAGTAACAATTCTGTGTCCCTGAGTAACAATTCTGTGTCTGTCCCTGAGTAACAATTCTGTGTCCCTGTGTCCCTGAGTAACAATTCTGTGTCCCCTGAGTAACAATTCTGTGTCCCCCTGAGTAACAATTCTGTGTCCCTGAGTAACAATTCTGTGTCCCTCAGTAACAATTCTGTGTCCCTCAGTAACAATTCTGTGTCTGTCCCTGAGTAACAATTCTGTGTCCCTCAGTAACAATTCTGTGTCTGTCCCTGAGTAACAATTCTGTGTCCCTGAGTAACAATTCTGTGTCTGTCCCTGAGTAACAATTCTGTGTCCCTGAGTAACAATTCTGTGTCCCTCAGTAACAATTCTATGTCCCTCAGTAACAATTCTGTGTCTGTCCCTGAGTAACAATTCTGTGTCCCTGAGTAACAATTCTGTGTCCCTGAGTAACAATTCTGTGTCTGTCCCTGAGTAACAATTCTGTGTCCCTGAGTAACAATTCTGTGTCCCTCTGTAACAATTCTGTGTC